TTCCTTCTACCCTTGCTGTCAAGGAGCAAAGAGCACCCTCTTGGACTTATATCACCCACTTCAGATTTCCCCACCAGTGCCCACAGGTAGAAACTGACAATGGGAAACAAATTGACTGACTTTTAAGCAGACCCAGATGGAACAAAATTCAGTATTTAAACTAATTCAAGTTTTTTGGTTTAATTAATATTGACATATCTAGAGTTATCCACATTAAATATGAAATTTTATTCTAGCGAAGTGTACTGCAGGTCAAATAAGCTCGTGTTATTTGTGTTGCAATTTGTTAGCAAAAAGATGGCTTAAAATGATAGTTAACTTTGTCTGTCTCAAAGTTTTCATGGATAATTGTTAAGATAGTCTTTCTTCGGTAACCTGAACTCAGTTATCAGCTGAAGCACTGATTACTGAACATAGGTTTGTTCTTTTGACTTCTCATTGCAGAGAAACTAAGAATATTTGAGTTTGTTGGAAAATGTGTTTTGTGCTTAAATGTATTCATAAATTTGCCATCTAAAGAATTCTGGTGCAACAGATTACAATTAGTTACTACTTAGTTTTCACTGGAGGCTAAGATTTCTGAGAGTTAAAATTCTGTTAAATGTAATTAAGATTAATGGAAATTAGGGAAGCAACTCTGTATGTAGGAAAGCAGGATGTGTAAGAAAGACATAAGGAATGGGAATACATTTTTGTTGAAGGAAAAAGAAAGTAATTTGTCCTAGAATTAGACTGGTTATTTCAAAAGAAAATGCTTAGGACAAAATGTAAATGCAAAGGAACGTTGTAGAAAGTTTGTGAAGAGGAATCTTTGAAAAAGGAATTTTATGCATGGTCAGGATAAACTTAGGTTGAAATAAGTGGATTTTAAAAGTACACTGGTATAAAATTGAAATTCTGCTTTCTCTCTGTTAAAAAGACAAAGTTTTCTTGGCTTATTGGTCTGCTCTTGATAAGAAAATGTAAACAAAGTTGTTTTCTCTTTCCTTTGCCTCTGCAGAAAAACCAGTTTCTGTGTTTTGTCTTTATCAGGTCTTTGATGAGCTGTAATACTATCTAGGCATGTGCTTTAAAACTTTCTAAGGTTTCAACAAACTTGTCTAAGATTTAAAATTATGACTGAAGTCTCCAACTAATTAGACTTGTTAATTTGGTATGTTATGCTCTGGTACAAGGTCATCACTCCATATTCTGATTATTGACATTTTCTGTGTCACAGAAATAACTGAATCTCCTTGTCAGATTCTCAGGTCATTAACAGTGTCCATTTCTGAGTTTTTTGTCATTTGTAATTGTTCTTATTCTTTTATGAAACATGTTTCATTTTCTTTTTTTTTTTTCAACGTTTTATTTATTTTTGGGACAGAGAGAGACAGAGCATGAACGGGGGAGGGGCAGAGAGAGAGGGAGACACAGAATCGGAAACAGGCTCCAGGCTCCGAGCCATCAGCCCAGAGCCTGACGCGGGGCTCGAACTCACGGACCGCGAGATCGTGACCTGGCTGAAGCTGGACGCTTAACCGACTGCGCCACCCAGGCGCCCCTTTTTTCAAGGAGATTCAAAAAGGGCTTTTGACAAATATAGGTATTCAATATCTTTAAGATCATAGAACTGAAATGGGAAAGAATTTCCAGAACTGAAAAATCTACATTCAAACTAAGTAAGAATTAGTAACACTGGACTAAATGAACTGAAAAAGATGATTATAGTTTTTGGGACTCTTGTTTAAAACAATCCTGGTTCTCTAATGTTTGCTCTTCCATATTAAGAAAACTTTCTCTTAAGATATCTATGACTGGGGCCCCTGGGTGGCTCAGTCAGCTGAGCATCCAAATCTTGATTTCAGCTCAGGTCATGATCTCAGGGTAGTGAAATTGAGCCCCGTGTTGGGATCCATGCTGAGTGGAGCATGCTTAAAATTCTCTTTCTTCCTCTCTCTTTCTGCTCCTCCCCTGTGTGCATGCTCTCTCTGTATATGTAAACAATTTTTTTAATTAAAACAATAAAAAAGACATCCCATGATTTATAAAAATATGATCAAGTATTCATTTGTGAACAAATTGAAGCATTTAATTTTTCTCTCTACCTGACCCTCTAAAATTCAGAAAAGTCTCAGTGAGTATTCTTTCATTCATGGTAATCATAGTTATTTACATAGGTTCAATAAGAATCTGTTCTCCTTGTAACAGGACACCATTGGAAATATTGGTTATTTTACCAAGACTTTGACTGGAATATCATATTTGAGAGACACGGATAGAGTCACATATGATTAGGCAGCTTTGCGGAACTGAGATTGACTTTAGAAACAGAGAGTCAATAAAGCCCTTGGAAATGTTAACCTGATACCTTGCTTACAGAGTTCCCATAAGCCTTACCAGTAAAGAATGTCACTACCTGGCAGGTACGTCAGGATATTTTGGGTACCTCGAGAAGAGGAATTTGCCCAAATCTACAGGTGTTGCAGGCATGTCTGATGGCAAGTACTTGGGCTGGCTTCTGGCCTAGAAAGGCTACTAAAAGTTCAATCCAGATTCCTATTGAAAAGTTGCAGCAAAGCAGACATTAAAAAATCTATATGGTCAATCACTATTCTTGCTGAGTTTATGTAAATAACTAGGCCAAGTTTTTTAAAATTGGACTTGTTTTGCAAATGAATTAGCCTTGATTTGGTTATCTGCAGAAATGAGACTAAATATAGAGAGAAACTTATGTTTCAATAACACACCTTTGTGAATATTAATTTCTAGCTCTGATTGTCTTTGAATGTTATTTGCCTAAGCTAGGCAACTTGAGCCAAACTTCAGAGAAATTGCCACAATAGCTCATGTATAGACAATCTTCATGTTTGTTATTCTGGGAGGATAACAGGATCCCATAGATATATATTTTTTATTTGAACAGCTGGAAAAATGAGATTGATTCCCCAACAGTTGTATAATTCAACTATCACCTTGACCAATTCTGTGTGGCTGGAATGACAAAATCACTCCTTAAATGCTAGAGTGCACCCCACTCCATGGGATTAACTATGAACTTGTAGAATGATGGATAACCCCAATTTCCTTGTGATTGGACCAGATAATGAACTTAGGGATGCCCATATTCCCAGACAAGTCTTCTCCCATTTGCCAGTGATTCCTCATAATTAAGATGTTGGTAAGGCTAACCATCAAAGAAAAAAGAGGGCTTCTTGATAGTTTTATCACTTAGCCATATTTTTCCTAGGAGCTGCTTCGATTGCTATCAAATTGCAAATAGAAGCTTTAGCCAAGCATACAGCAGCCTTTTTAAGTAAACCCAACTTCTCAGTATATACTGGATGGAATATATCAAATCTGGGATAGATATTTATGGCTTACCCCCACAACTGGACAGTTAAGTCAGAAAGCAATTCTATGCTAGAAACAAAAAAACCATACTTACAATACGTGGACAAACCGCACATGGCAGTTAGGATAGCTATCATTAGAAGTATGCTTACAAATCATTGCTCTCCAGGCCACTGATTGATTTGCTACTGACTGAACAAGAAGGCCTGCACTTAGATGGCTGGTTCCTAATGGGACCCAATGGCTATGTGGCTCTAACTTGTGGCCATGGTTTTCTCCAGGCTGTATACTCCTCTGTACTCTGGATTCTGCCTGGATGCATGGACACATCATTAAAACCATTACTAACACAGCCAACCTTCCAAATTTAAAACAATAGTGGACACATTCTGTTTTTCATTGGTATGACCACCTCGCATCTATCTTTATTCCCTCTTTAGGACTGGAGGATTTGGTTTGGCACATGAAACTCTTAATAAGTACACAGTCAAAGCCCTAAGTGACACTGAAAATAGCATTTCACTATCAAATACTGAAGTAACACAAATGTGTTTTACTTCAGTTTTACAAAATAGAATAGCATTAGATGTTTTAGCTGCTGCACAAGGTAGCCCTTGTGCTTTCATAAATGCAGAATGCTGTGAGGGCACCTGGGTGGCTCAATTGGTTGAGTATCTGACTTCGGCTCAGGTCATGATCTTGCAGTTCTTGAGTTCAAGCCCCACACCAGGCTTTCTGCTTTCAGCACATAGCCTGCTTTGGACCCTCTGTCCCCTGTCTCTGCCCTGTCCCCACTTGTGCTCGTTCTCTCTCTCTCTCTCTCAAAAATAAACAAAAACATTTTTTTTTTAAAAAAGCAGAATGTTGTGTATACTTTCCAGATTACCATATTTCTGGATTTCTAATGGACATAAACACTCAAATTTGTGCTTTAATTGATCCCTCTATTTCCTTTAATGATTGGTTAAACTTCTGGACTAGAGGAGGATCTTTGTCAACTATCAAAGGACCCTTATTCGGGCTTCTTTTTTTGTTGTTATTTTGATTTTGTTTTGCTATTTTCTCCCATATCTCTTCACCTGGTGCTGAGACTCCTTCACTACCATAACTTCAAGCCAACAGATAATCCTTTCTACTCAGGGAGATCCATACATTTGGTTTTCCTTGGATTCAGCTGTCTCTGCCTTTCATAACTCCTATATACATAAGTCCTCAACTGAACAATATTGACCCATAGTTTGGGATATCTCTATGCCCTGATTCAGCAGGAAGAAGTTACAGAAGTCAGGACCTTCCACCATCATCAGCCTTAAAGATTTAAGGGTCAAAATTGTTTGGGGGGAAAGATATGATGAATAAAGGCAAAAGAAAAAAATTAAACTTCCTTATAACTTACAGCCCAATGACAAGCACTGGTGACAGGCAGAGTGACCTTCCTCCAGGAACTCAACTGCCTCAATGTTAATACTTTGCTAAAGGCAAAAGGCAACCCTAGCTTGACATTAGTCCAACCTCCAGAATCCTGTAAGTCTCCTCGAATGTATGAAAATCCCTTTGGAAACTTCTTTATCTCTACCAGCCTCCAAGATGTATGTTTTCAATCATCCTCCAAACATATGGCCCACTGATACACATCTGAAGGGTCTCATGACTAAGGTTTTACTAAGACAGTGTTAAATGACATTTTCCTAACAACAGCTAGTGCCTCAAGGTCCTGGAAACCTTGCTTCCAAATTCCTTAGAGACTTTCGCTGTCCTTAACCCCCTCCTTGAAAGTACATAATCAGCTGCTTCTCACAATCCCAGTGAAGCTCTTTCTGCCCATGGGTCCTGTCCTTGTGCTTTAATAAAACCACCCTTTTGTACCCAAATCATCTCAAGAATTCTATCTTGACTGTTTGCTACTGAACCCTAACATTTCATATCATTGTGGACCTAGTCCCATTGACTTTTAGGACTGGGTGTTTGGAGGGCTGGTCCCTCAACTGGAAGTCTTAATAGCTGTAAATACCCAAGGATTTCAGCTGGGAATCCTGAAAGGCTATAGGAGGATGTGTAAAGTAAAAAATAGAAAAGCTGTTACAAAGACCAAAATCATGCCTTCAATCACCTCAATTCCTGGATTGGGATATACTGGATATACCCCTACTGAGTTACCTGACAGAACCAAATGTAAATCATTTCTGAAGGAAGATAAATTATCTCTGCAATTTTTCCTGTACTATTCTGACATTGAATAAAAAGTATGACACAAACTTGAAGACCATCAAAAACCAAGGAAAAATCAAACAATAGCTACAGACCACAGGCAATGACAGATATTGGAATTAAACAGAGGCTTTAAAATAACTACGAAAGGGTTTTTTTTTTAAAGTTAAGTTTTTAAATTGGTAATTAGATGGAAAATCTTAATAGAGAACTCGAATTCATGTTTATGTCTTCCAAGACTATTTCCTATACGAACATCCTTGAAAATATATATCTTATAAATTTGTAGAAATGTCATTGAGAATCGTTCCCTGACAAAAATATCCACACTAAAAAACGGAGAGTAAAAAAGATAATCTCAGAAGTAGAAGAGAGAAAAGATGATGAAGCAATATTTGAAAGACAATGGCTGAAGATATTTCTACAACTGAAGACAGTGTTTCATATTCCAGAAGCTCCACACACCTGCAACAGAATTACAAAAGAAAACTACTCTATGTATAAAATGGTCAAACTGTTGGAAATTAAAGAAAAAGATAAAAGCTTAAATGCAGGAGGAAACAAAAGATACCTCCCTCAGAAGATGGCGAAGTAAGAGTATCTCAAGCTCACTTCAATCCATGAATCTAGATAATAATCACATCACTGCAACAAACCCAGAAAATGACCTGAAGCCTGGCAGACCAGACTCTTCAATCACACAGAGAAAGCCACATCAAAAATGGGGGCACCTGGGTGGCTCAGTCAGTTAAGCATCTGACTTCAGCTCAGGTGATGATCTCATGGTTTGTGGGTTTGGGCCCCACATAGGGCTCTGTGCTGATAGCTCAGAGCCTGGGGCCTGCTTGGGATTCTGTGTCTCCCTCTCTCTCTTCCCCCTCCCCCATTTGCACTCTTTCTCTGAAAAATAAACATAAAAAAATGGTAGGAAGGTTGGAGACCCAGTTGGGACCAAACTCCCAATGAGACTAACCACAAATAGGAGGAACACCACCAGCACAGAGAAGAGAGGAACAGGCCCCACTCCAGGCATCCCAGACACAGGGGACCTGCACTCAGAAGATGATTCTCCACGGCACTTGGCTTTGAATTCAGCAGGGCTTTAGTTCACAAGTTTTTACAACCAGTAGTGCTTAACTTAAAAAATCAGAGGACTCAGCTCTGGGAGAGCCAGAGAGTGGTAGAAAACTTTAAGAGTTCCCACTCTTAAAGTGATAGCCTAACAAACAACCTGCCTACATACAGCATAGAAGCAGCAGTCTGAAAAGCCCTGCAGTATATATATGAAGATTTATTTACTAATCTCAGAATGGTGCTGGAGGGGCAGGAATGTTTAGGAGAATTCTCCAAGGAAAAGGAACTGCTGGGTACCATTTATCTCCCACCCCCACCCCAATACAGCCTAAATATCTGGACAACTGCAGGAACCAGTGCAAACACTTACCACATAGCTTGCTAACATCATATGCCCTGCCCCCATGTTCTCCTGTGGACTTGCCTCATCCAACTGGCTCCACCCGGCAAGAGTCCCTTCATATTGGTGCATGATGCATCTCATTTTACAAGCAGCCCTGAAAGTGACCAGCACCACTCCAAAGTGAGTCTTGGCCTAGGGAGAGGGAAACATAACCACACATACCAGTTCAACTGCAGCCCCAACAGTGGTCTGGGAACTGAAATCTGATCTGACTGCTGGCCTTGCCCACCAACAAAAACTCACAGGGGCAGCACAAGGAGACAGCCCTGCATTTCACGATCACTGCAATCCCAACAGACAAACTAGGAAAATAATACCTGCTCTGACTTCAGGCTCTGTCCACCAACTAAAAGCTCTCAGGGGACAAGGCAAGGACAGTACCCTGGAGTTTGGTGTAACTTCATCCCTGGCAAATGAGCTGAGGGCAGACATCTGGTCTGACCCAACTGGCAACCCCAGAATGGACATGTAACAACATGGGGACCAAACTTACCCACAAAAGGCAAAGGGAGCCATTGCAGCCAAATGAACTGAAGGCAAATGCACACAACCACAGTAGTACAGTGCACACAAACAGGTACACCTCTGAAGTGCATGGTCCTGTTGAACAGGGGACATTACACTGCAGGTCTTTACAGGACTTCTTCATAAGACCACTACTTTCAAGATCAGAAGTATATAAGTGGCTTTCCTAATACATAGAAACAAACAGAGACAGAATTAAGAGGCAGAGGAATATTTCCCAAATGAAAGAACATGATGAAATCACAGCAAAAAGGCTAAATGGAATGGAGATAAACAAATGCCTGATAGAGGATTCAAAGTAATTGTCACAAAGATACTTGCTGGATTTGAAAAAACAGCGGAGGATCTCAGTGAGAACTTCAACAAAGAGAAAACTGTAAAAAAGAACCAATCATGGATGGTTCATTTCAGCTAACCTCAACAACTGCAATTAAAAATACATTATAAGGAATAAATAGTAGAAAAGAGAAAGCAGAAAAACAGATCAGTGAGCTGGAAGACAGAGAAATAGAAAGCAACCAAGCTTAACAGCCAAAAGACCAAAAACAAAAGAATAAAAAATAAGAATAGGTTAAGGAAAATCAGAGACATCATCAAGCATAATATTCACATTATAAGGATCCAAGAAGGAGAAGAGAGAATAAAGAAGGCAGAAAATTTATTAGAAGAAATAATAGCTGAAAACCTCCCTAAACTTGGGAAATCCAGATCCAGGAGGCACAATGAACCCCTAACAAAATCAACTCATGGAATCTACAGCAAGACACATAGTAATTAAAAAGGCAAAAAATATTGATAAAGAGAATTTTAAAAGGCACAAGAGAAAAAAAAATACAATTACATACAAGGGAAACCCCATAAGGCAAATATTAGGTAACTGAACCAGCAGTATATAAATAAAACAACATGAACCTAATAACATCATGAACCTAATAAAAGGTTAATTTAACATGAAATAAATCAGTGTTGAATACGAAACTAATATATCAAAAAATACCTTATATTTCCATATACTAGCAATATTTAGAAAATTAAGTTTAAGAGTGGGACACTAAAAAAATAATAAATTAAAAATTAAAAAAAGAAAATTAATTTTAAAAATTATAGCATTTATAATAACATCAAGGAAAATATTAAATTCCCAGATAGAAATCTAACTAAAGATGAATGAGACTTCTACACGAAAAACCACAAAATATTAAGAGAAATTTAAAATGACATAGATAAATGAAGACTCAATAGTATAAAGATATCAATTCTTCTAAAACTGATCTATAGATTCAATACAAATTCAATAAATTTCCTAGGTTTTGCATGTGTGTGTGTGTGTGTGTGTGTGCACAAAATTAACAAATTAACTTTTAAATTGAAATAAAAATTCAAAGAGACAAAAATAGCTAAGATAGTCTTGAAAAAACAAGTGATTAGAAATTATGCTGCTGGAAATTAACTGGTTGCCATGACTTACTATAAAATTACAGAAATTAAGAGAGCTTGATACTGACAAATAGCTAAACAAATAAATAGACCAATGGGTTAGAATAGAGTGTCTGTAATCATACCTACATGTAAATGAACACTTAGGACAAAAGTGACACTGAAGATTTGAAGGAAAGGAATTGGGCCAAATGTATATCCAAATGGAAAAAAATATAAATGTTGACCTCTACTTCATATCATATTCAAAAATCAATTCCAGCTAGATTGTAATTTAAGTATGATCTGTAAAATGATGTCTGTTCTCTTATGTGTTTTATTTTGGGATATTTTCTCCATTACATCTTTCTTCTCTAAATGAAAGACTTTGAAGATGAACAACCATACCATGAGGTCTTGTCCAAGTACTCTTATTTATTTCTAACAAACTTGTTTAAGAGAGAGCTGGTGGAGATATTAGAGAACACATGGGAAGAACTAGTAAACTTCCTTCAAAACTTAAAGAATAGAAATACCTCCTTCTGAAAAAGAAAAGATAAGAGTCATTGCAAAATATTTGTTCTTATGTTTTGTTCATTTAAATAATTCTTATATTAAAATAACATATTTAAATTCATATATATGAATACACTTTCTGCAGTTGTTCCAGCAGCAATAGATTAGAAAACTATTATTTCCTTCCACCATTAAATAACATTGTCTTCTTTGTCCAGAATTATTTGATTATAAATATGCAGGTCTATTTCTAAACACTCTGTTTCTTTTATCTATATGTTTGTCCTTACACCAACACCACAGTGTCTTGATTACTGTAGTTTTTATAGTGAGTCTTGAAATCAGTTAAGGAAGCCTTCCAAATTCATTCAAAATTATTTTGGCTCTTCTGGGTCTTTTGTTTTTTCATATAGATTTACTATCACTTTGTTAATTTATACAAAAACAAAACAAAACACTTGCAAGTATTTAGATTGGGATTACATGAAAACCATAGATTGATTTGGGGAGAATTGAAATCTAAACAATATTAAGACGTCTAATTCATGAAAATAGTATATCTCTCCATTTATTAGGTTTTTTTAAGATTGCTTTCAGCTATGTTTTGTATCAGTGTATAAGTCTCACACATATTAAATTTATTTCTAGGTATTTCATATTTTGAGCACTTAGGGTAAACGATATTTTTTAAATTTTCAATTTTTCTTTTTTTATTGAGATATAACTGACATGTAACATTATATTAGTTTCAGGAACACAACATAATGATTCAATATTTATATATAATGTGAAATAATCACCACAAGTATAGTTAAATCCATCACCATATATAGTTATAAATTTTTTCTTGTGATGAGAACTTTTAAGATCTACCTTTTCAACAATTTTCAAATATACAGTATAATTAACTACAGTCACCATGTACATTATATCCTCATGACATTTATTTTATGTCAAGTTTGTGCCTTTTGATCTCTTTCATCCTTTTTGTCCACTCCTTTTCCCCCACTTCTGTCTATCACCCATCTGTTCTCTGTATCTATGATTGATTCTTTGGTTAGTTGTTTTTGTTTTTGTTTAGATTCTACATATGAGTAAGATCATATAGTATTTGTCTCTCTGTGTCTGACTTATTTAACTTAGCGTAATTCCCTCAATATTTGTCAATGTTACAAATGGCAAGGTTTTATTCTTTTTTAGGGATGAAAAATATCCCATTTTTTTCCCATTCATCTGTCAATGGACACTTAAATTGTTTCCATATCTTGGCTATTATAATAATGTTGTAAGGAACATGATGGAACATATATGTTTTTGAGTTGTGTTATTTTCTTTAGATAAATAGAAGTGAAATTGCTGAATCATAATTGTAGTTCTATTTTTAATTTCTTTAAATTTTTTTACTATTTATTTTTGAGAGAGAGAGAAACAGAGCTTGAGTGAGGGAGGGGCAGAGAGAGAGGGAGAAAGAATATGAAGCAGGCTCTAGGCTCTGAGCTGTCAGCACAGAGCCCAGCACAGAGCTTGACCCAACCAACTGTGAGATCATGACCTGAGCCAAAGTTGAACACTTAACCACCTGAACCACCCAGGCACCCCCATTTTAAATTTTTTAAGGAACCAACATGATGTTTTCCATTGCAGCTGCAACAATTTACATTCCCAACAATAATACACAAATTTTCCCTTTTCCCCACATCCTTGCCAACATTTATTTCTTATCTTTTTGATATTAGCATTATAACAGGCATAAAGTGATATCTCATTGTGTTTGTAATTTGCATTTCCATGATTAGTGATGTTGAACACCTTTTCATATACCTGTTGGTCATCTGTGTGTCTTTGGAAAATGTCCATTCAGATCTTCTGCCCATTTTTTAATTGGATTGTTACTTAGTTTTATGAGCTCGTTATATATATATATATATATTATATATATATAATATCACAAAGCTATGGTGATAATGCTGGCTTTATAAAATTAATATATATATATATATGTGTGTGTGTGTGTGTGTGTGTGTTTGTGTGTGTGTATAATGTCTATCCTTATACCAATACCATAATGTCTTGAATACTGATAGAATGTATATATAACCACATATCATTTAAATGATTTGCAAATATTTTCTCCCATTTGGTAGGTTGCCTTTTCATTTTGTTGATTTTTTTTTTGCAAAAGCTTTTTAGTTTGATAGAATTCCATTTGTTTACTTTTGCTTTTGTTGTCTTGGTTTTTAGTGTCAAATCCAAAAATTATCACCAGGACAAATGTCCTTATCACCTATGTTTTCTTCTATGAGTTTTATGGTTTCCAGTCTTATATTCAAGTCTTTAATCTATTTTGAGTTTTATGTATGGTGTTATATAGTGGTCCAGTTTCGTTCTTTTGTGTGTGACTGTCCAGTTTTCCCAACTCCATCTATTGAAAAGACTGTTATTACCCATTATATACTTGGCTTCTTTTGGTCATAAGTTAATTGACCATATAAGCATAGGTTTACTTCTGGGCTCCCTATTATCTTCTTTTGATCTGTGTGCCTGTTTTTATGCCAGAACCATACTGTTTTGATTACCATAGCTTTGTGATATAGTTTAAAACAAAAAAGCATGATGCATCCAGCTTTGTTCTTTCTCAAGATTACTTTAGCTAATTGGAGTCTTTTGTCATTCCATAAAAATTTTATGGTTATTTCTTTAAAAATGCCATTGGAATTTTGATAGAGATTCCATTGAATCTATAAATCCATTTGAGTAGTCATGGACAATTTTAAAATATGGATTCTTCCAATCCATGAGTATTGAATATCTTTGCATTTATTTGTGTCTGCTTAATTTATTTCACCAGTGTCATAATTTTTCAAGTATGGGTCGTTCACTTCCTTGGTTAAATTGATTCCTACATATTTTATCCTTTTTGATGCAATTATAAATGGAATTGTTATCTTAATTTCTTTGGACCGCTTCATTATTACTGTATAGAGGCACAACATATTTTTGTTTATTGATTTTGTATCCTGCAACTTTTCTGAATTTGTTTATTAGTTCTAATAGTTTTTTGGTGAGATCTTTAAGGAGTTGTATATAAAATATCATATCATGCACAAATAATAGCAGTTTTATATCTTCCCTTCTGATTTGGATATCTTTTATATCTTTTTCTTGACGAATTGCTCTGGCTAGGACTAAAAGTGGGGAATAAAAGTGGTGAGCGTCAGCATCCTTGTCTTGTCCCTGATCCTAGAGGAAAAGCTTTTAGCTTTTCACCATTGAGCATGATGTTAACTATGGGCCTGCCATCATGGCCTTTATTATGTTGAAGTATGTTCCCTCTAGATGCACTTTGTTGAAAATCTTTATCATAAATGAATGTTGAATTTTGTCAGATGATGATTTTTCTGCACTTATTGAAATGCCCATATGATTTTTCTTACCTTCATTTTGTTAATATGGTGCATCACATTTATTGACTTGCAGATGTATCCTGCATGGGAGTGGCATGGCACTTGTTCCCTGAAATAAATCCCATTTGATCATGGTACATGATCCTTTTAATATATTGTGAAAGTTTGTCAGCTAATAATTTATTGAGGATAATTGCATCTGTGTTCATCAGGGATTTGGTCTATAATTTTATTTTCTTATAGTGTCCTTGTCTGGTCTTGGTATCAGGATAATGCTGGCTTTATAAAATGAATTTGGAACTGTATTCATCTCTTCTACTTTTTGGACCAGTTTGAGAGGAGGTAGTATTCTTCTTTAAATGTTTGGTAAAATGTACCAGCGAAACCATCTGGTCCCGGACTTTTGTTTGTTGGGGAGGTTTTTGATACCAATTCAATCTCCTTACAAATAATCAGTCTATTCAGATTTTCTACTTGTTCCTGATTCATTCTTGTGAGGTTGTAAATTTCTAGAAATTTATTTATTTTTTTATGTTGTGAAATTTGTTGGTGTATAGTTGTTTATACTTCTTTCCATTTATGTGATTTCACTTGGAATTTCTGGCTTTATTCATTTGAGTCTTTTCTCTTTTTTCTTTGTGAGTCTAGCTGAAGTTTTGAGAATATTTATCTTTTCAAAGAACCACCTCTTAGTTTCATTAATCTTTTCTATTGTCTTTCTAGTCTTTGTTTTATTTTTTTCTGCTTTTTTATAATTTCCTTCTTTCTACCAACTGTGTGCTTTGTTCTTTTTCTAGCTCCTTGAGGTGCAAAGTTAGGTTGTTGGACATTTTTCTTGTTTTATAATATAGGCTTTAAACTTTTTGTAATATTTATTTATTTTTGAGAGAGAAAAAGAGACAGAGACAGAAAGAGAGCATGAGTGGGGAAGGGGCAGAGAATCTGAAGCAGACTCCAAGCTCTGAGCTGTCAGCACAGAGCCTGATGTGTGGCTTGAATTCATGAGCCATGAGATCATGACCTGAGCCGAAGTTGAACACCTAACCAACTGAGCCAATCAGGCACCCCTATAATGTAGGCTTTTTACTGCTATGCAATTTCTTCTTAGAACTGCTCTTGTTGCATCCTGTAAGCTTTTGTACATTTTATTTCCATTTTCACTTGTGTCAAAGTATTTATTGATTTCTCTTTTGGTTTCTTCTTTGACCCATTCGTTGTTCAGTAGCATGTTGTTTAATCTCCACCTATTTGTGAATTTTCATTTTTGTTCTTATACTTGAATTCTAATTTTTACTGTTGTGGTTCAAATGTTCTGTAAACATCTGTTAAGTCCTTCTTAATGTGTCATTTAAGTCCAATGTTTCCTTATTCGTTTTCTGTCTGTGGATGTGAGTATTAAAGTCCCCTATTATTATTGTATTGTTATCTGTTTCTCCTCTTAGGTATGCAAATATTAACAAACAGACCTTTGTTTCTTATTACAGTCTTTGGCTTAAAATCTAATTTTTCTGATATAAATATAACTACTCCAGCTTTCATTTGGTTTAAAATGCATGGAATATCTTTTTCCATCTCTTTATTTTTTTGTCTGTGTTTGTCCTTACATCTGAGGTGAGTCTCTTAGAGGTAGCATATAGATATATCTTAATTTTTTAATCCATTCAGCTGCCCTACATCTTTTGATTATAGAATTTAGCCCATTTATATTTAAATAATTATTGGTAGGTATGTATTTATTGTCACTTTTTAAGTTTATTTCTTTTGAGAGAGAGAGAGAGAGGGTGCACACATGAATGAGGAGGGGCAGAAAGAGAGGGAGAGAGAGAATCCCAAGCAAGCTCCACACTGTCAGTGCAGAGCCCAATATGGGGGTCAGTCTCATGAACTATGAGATCATGACTTGAGCCAAAATCAAGAGTCAGATGGTTAACCAACTGAGCCACCCAGGTGCCCCTATTTCTTGCCATTTTGTTAATTTTTTTCTCTATTCCTTTCTTCTTCTCTTGCTACTGATTCCTTAGTGATTTGATAATTTTATGTAGTTATATGCTTAGATTCCTTTCTCTTTCTCTTTTGTATATAGGTTTTTGGAGTTTTTTTGTTTTTGGGGGGTTTTTTATTTGTTTTTTTGCTCTGTGGTTACAATGAGGCTTATATAAAACAACTTATTTTATAAGTCTATTTTAAGTTGATAAGAACTTACCTTTCAATGCCTTCTAAAGTTCTACCCCTCAGACCACAGCATGAAGACGAACTTTGAGATTTTTTCACAGAATGACTGGGTGACCCAGTCAGTTGCTTCTAGGCATGCCCTGGGTTGGGGGGGGGGTAGCTAGTTAAGAACTTTTTCTTCATTTGTTACAATCCTGTGGATCATTGAGCATAAGCCCTGCTGGGCACTAGACCCAGGCAATCTAGAGGGTCCTCTGAGTGGAGCCACAAACATCAGGTACCAGATGTGTGTACAAGCTTCCTTCTGGGAGATACTGGTAAGCTTAAGCATGGCTTAAGGAGGCTTAAGGAGAGTGCAAAGATGTTATCTGCCAGCATTTGACTCCAGAGAGTATTTCAGCAGGTCCCTAGATATGTGTTAAATTAGATGCCTGCCATTCAGGTTGATCCTTTAAGATAAGCAAATAAGACTCCTTCACAGAAAGTCTGGGTGCTTTCCAGATAGCTGCCCGTGCACTAAGCCCTGGAATAGGTGAATCTTCATGTGTGAACTTTTAAAAAACTGTTTCTCAGGTCAATGTAGTTCTGTTGGCTTTCAAAGATAGATGTTTTGGAGCCTCATTTCTCCCAAATATCTTCCCTCATGATTAAAGCCTTTCATCTCATAATTTTGGGTCATTGGTTCCCAGATAGTCACCCACATGTAAATCTGTTTATCTCACTCATTCTTACTGGAGCTGCTCCTTTACAGAAATAAAATAATTCAAGATGTAAAAAGCTCTGTTGGGAAGCCCTGTTCCTAAAAAAAGTTTTGAGTGAACTTTCCCAATCTCTTTTGAATGGAATCCAGACAGATTAAAAGTGTCAATTATAATTTTGGCACCATGATTTCATTTTAAATTAAGCAAATATACATTTAATTGATAAGATGGGTTGATTCTTTTTGACCTTTTAATATTAGTTATAAACTAGTATTTTAACTGGTTTAATTTAATTTAATTATATTATCTTTAGGGATCCTTATTTTAAGGGTACAGGTCTTAAGTGTAAGGGTGTGTGATATGGGCTTCAAATATTTTTGCTCTTCAGGATGAAGTTTGGGGTTTTGAGTTCCCCCCTTTTGTGGGTTGCTATATTGGGGATAATGGTTTATGGCAAGATTGTGTCTCAGCCTCTTCCACCTGCTTCAATAGGTTTTCTTTTTTTTCTCATTTGTCTGATGTGTAGGAGTTGCTCAGCTAGTTTGGTGGGGGGGAGGTGGTTTCAGAGAAAATTGTTCCATATGTAGCTATAGATTTTGTGTGTCCATGGGAAGAGGTAGGTTCAGTATCTTCCTACATTGTCATATTGAACTAGAGCCCCTAAATTTTCCTTTTCTAATTGTTTGCTGCTAGTATGTAGAACTATAAGTAATTTTAGTATATTGACTTTGTATCCCCTGGCCTTACTAAAGTCATTTATCCATTCCAGTAACATTTCTGAAGCTTCCATAGAATTTTCTTTATACACAACCATCCCAGTGAATAAAGACAGTTTTCTTTCTACTTTTCCAAATTATGTGGCTTCCATTTCTTTTTCTTGCCTTATTGCATTAGCTAGGCCCCCCAGTGTAACTCTGAAAGAGAAATGATGAAAAGGGATGTCCTTGTCTTTTTCCAGATGTTAACAGGAAAGCATTCAGTCTTTTTCAATTAACTATGATGTTACCTCTAAGATTTTCTTAGTTGTCTTTTATCAGGTTAAGGAAGTTCCCTTCTGGTGCTTGTTTACTGAGAGGTTTTGTTTTGTTTTTATCATGAACAGATAGACGTTGAATTTTGTCTAGATCTATTGAAATGATTATGGGGGAGGGTTCTCTTGTATTTTGCTACCATGTTGAATTACATTAATTAATTATTGAAAACCTAACTTTGTAATTTGGGGATAAACCTCATTTGGTCATGATATATTGTCCTTTTGATATATTGCTTGATTTTAGTTGCAAGCATTTTGTTACAGATTTTTGCTTCTTCTGTATATGAGGGACATTGGCCTGTGATTTTATTTTCTTGTAATGTGATTGGTTTTGGAATTAGGGCAGTGCTAATCTTATAACATGCATTGGGAAATGCTCTGTCCTCCATTTGATTTTGAAAATTTTTCCAAAGGATTGTAATTTTTTTCAGTATTGAATAGAATGTATCAGTGAAGCCATCAAGTCTAGTTTTTGTGGGAAATTTTTAAGTTATAAATTCTATTATTTGTTTATTTATTTATTTATTTAATTTTTTTTGACATTTATTTATTGTTGAGAGACAGAGACAGAGCACAAGCAGGGGAGGGACAGAGAGAGAGAGGGAGAATCTGAAGCAGGCTCCAGGCTCTGAGCTGTCAGCATAGAGCCTGATGTGGGGCTCAAACCCATGAACCTCAAGATTATGACCTGAGCCAAAGTCAGACACTTAACCAACTGAGCCACCCAGCCACCGCTATTTATTTTTTAAATGTTTATTTATTTATTTTGAGAGAGAAAGAGAGAGATATAACAGGGGAGGTACAGAGAGAGACAGAGAGAGAGAGAGAGGATCCCAAGCAAGCTCCACACTGTCAGCACAGAGCCCAATGCTAGGCTTGATCTCATGAACCTTGAGATTATGACCTGAGCTGAAATCAACAGTCAGACACTCAACCAACTAAGCCACCTATGTGCCCCTATTTTTTATTTATAAAGGACTATT